GGGGGGTTAGCCCCCCCCCCCCAATACCCCCCTCGCTACGGCCCTGTCAGTACATCGTTCATAATTTCCAGTCTTAAATCCGTCTGACCTACACGGTCAGTTGGTAGAGCTTCGATCTAGTGACTCGAAGGTCCCGGGTTCAAAACCAATACATATGTTTGTTTATGTTCTTGTTACCCTGCATGCTCTTCTGTAATCTCGTCGTCTATTTCTGTTCGTCATGCCGAAATGATAGAGTTCAGAACTCGTGAGAATTGGTTGCGTTCATTTAATTCACAATCGTGAGGAGTTGTCATTTGGCAAGACGTGACGGATTTTCAAAACCTTTGAGATGAGACAGTATTGGACATGCATGGATGCTGAAGGTGGCTGAAATTAATAATTAAAAGCTGTAGTTAAAATTACTTTGAGTGAATTATTATTTCATTGTTTTGCAAAAAAACCCGCAATATGTTCAATAATTAACGAACGCTAATGCAAGTGTCACCATAGTTTCTCAGTCTACAGGGTGTATAAAAAAAAGCGCAATCCTCGACTGAAATGTAAATTGCTAAACAAATAATACACGAAAACGCTTTCTAACAGTGGGTTGTTTCTTAAATTAGACTCATTGGTTCGTGGGTATAATAATACTTTACGCTATTGCGATTGGAGATTAAAAAAATCGAGATGGAATAACTAAACGTTCTGATGAAAATAACTGATTTTTTCATTAAAACAAAAAAATGTTGCATTTTATTAAATGGATTGTAACAATAAGTATAATTACGGCTTTTTTCCACTATTTTTAACTCAGTTTGAAACTTCAAATGCGATATAATTTTGGCTTGGACCATCTAAGCTGACTGACATCAACTTGCTATAATTTCTGTTTACATTATACATCGCAATTCGATGACACTCTGGCTCAGACACCAGAATGTTTTGACGATTTTTAGCATTCGTTTAGGATTTTCAAAAAAAAACTGGTCTCTTTTAAAATACTTTTAATTTGTTCTTATACGTGGTTTTCCAGATGTAGTGACGACAACATTGAAGTTTAAAGAAGAAAATTCTAACATTTAAACCGACTAAACAATGACATAGTAAACTTGCATAATTAAACAGCAATAAAAAATGATAGGTCTTACTAAATCTTTTCCTGTTCAATTATTACTAGCATTGGAGACAAGAATAACAGTTTGTTTGAAAGAGAGAAGAACAGGCTTTGAAGTAAGCCTAAAAGCGTTTAACTAGAAATAGTATTTCGAAAGTTATTAAGCACAAAAGATGAATTGCGTTTATTTTGATACACCCTTTATAGAGAAGCACTTGGCTAACTCTTTAGTACGCTGACAAAATGAGAAATTTGTTGAAATTGCAGCACGAAACTTGAAAAATTGCAGCACGAAACAATTTCAAACAACTGAATTAGTTAGCGGGTAATATACAAATTTAAACTTACTGTGCCTACAGAAACACATGCAGATTATAATAAAAAGTATACAACTTGATATATTGCACTGTAAAACCTCGAGCCGTTTTAACTTTTTTAGTATGCCCCTGTGGCGGTCTGTATACAAAACTAACGAAGGAATACAATATAAATGGAGTTTACAATATTGAAGTGTATTTCCGGTCTGCGCTGATTGGTTGTTATTAATTGACCTGTGACATCCTAATTGAAGGGCGGCATGCAATCATCATAGGGATTCTTGCATGCTCTCTTTGCTCTAGAGAACCTGCTCGCAGGCTAGATGTGATAATGCCCTCGGGGAATGTTGGGACAATATTCGAGAAGCGTGTAAAACACTCGGCTACGTCTCGTGTATTTCCGGATCGGATTAGGATTTGCAGAAATGGAAATACCGAAATAAAACATGAAAATCTGAAGATACAATCTTGGAAATATTGCCGTAAATAGTGTATTGCATTTTAAATCGAACAAGTCCATTACGAAGAAGATACAAACAGAGGGGCCGAAGGTATGTTCGGTGAAAGGTATGGCTAGTCTATTCGTTTATTCAGAAAATAAAGCAATTTCATAATATATGATCTCGCTCAGTGATTTTCAAAGGCCATAAATCGCTATAATGTTTACATGAACAAAAAAACTATCGTGACTGAAGAATGAAGAGATATTGTTTCACAAATCAAATAACTGTATTTTTGTGTTCATAGCACTGCATCGAACCAAAAATATGAACATGCAAATGATCATCCTCTCGCGAATGACGATAACTGCACCGGATTACAAAGAATAATAAACCTGCCGCACACGGTAGCCCCCCCCCGTTTTTTGGCAGTTGGGCAATTTTCGATCAACAGTCGGGCAATTTTGGTTTGTAATAAAAATAAATGGCACAAATTCTGTCAATTTAGTCTGAAATTCAGTCAATTTTGTGGTGAATTTAGTGTTGTTTGGAAAATTTGTGTGATGTTCCGAAAAATTTTGGTATGTCCGGAAAATTTTTTGACCCCTAAAATGGTACACTGACCGAAAATTTTTTGGCGAGGGGGGTCGACAAAATAATTTTTCCGCAAAAATTTTTTGGGTACTAGTCGGGCAGAATCCCAAAAAGTCGGGCAAATTTCTTTCCGCCTCCCTAATTTTTTCCTTCCGGTACGCCCATGTTTACTATAATGTCTGTATAAGGAAATAATTCAACCAGTACCGCCATCAACGAAAGAAAGGAGTTTACAATTTGTTATAACTTGCAGTAGTAGTCTGTGGTTCACTCGATTGATCTCTCCTAAACTGCCTAAATAACGATCCCGATCAATCGATCTGTCCTAAACAGCCTAAACAACGATCCCGATAAGTTTAATTTTTAATTACAACGCTTTTCTGTGATAAAATATGACTACGCGCTTGTACTTCCAAAATTGTTGAAAAAAACTATTAAGAATGTAAGAGGCGAACTCACAAAAAGTCTGTATCCTTGAGTTTATCTTGAAATGGTATTGTGCAAAATGCGAATAAATACATAGACCTTGTTCAAGCACAAACTAAAATTTCTGTCCCAAGCTCAGAAAAAGCTACGAAGTAGATGAGTTATCCAAAGTTATGAAAAATAGAAGCGAACTTGGACCACTCGCGGCAGCAATGTGGAGAGACGAACCATAATTATGTCTTATATTTGTCCAGACTGTCCACACCCATGGCTATAATAAATACTGCAGAGACTTCAGTTAACTTTGTCTACTTTTAGATAGGTTCCTCGCAGCGTTCATTGTAATTATCTGGTCGAAGATGAGGCCATATAAAATAAATTCCTTGATTCTCATCACCGCCCGACGATATTTTGGTTTCCGCGTTGATATATTTTTGTATTTTGTTATAAAATATAAATTTACCGCCCGACCGAGCATCTTCAGAGATTTAGTTATTTTTATATTTTATATTGGAATTTTTGCGATATAAAATTGTTTTATCGTTAATATTGCAACATGTTAAGGGATGCTCGGAATACTGAAGGAAAAAATGGGCTTATAGCCTTACTACAACGATTTGTGTGGACCCTTATGAATGTTCATTAGCGCATTGCAATTATCCACTTATATAGCGTTCTTCTATAATATATTTAAGGGCAAATATAAAAAGACCTCCCTCTCCAATTTTTTAAAATTTTTAACTTTTTTTTAATATTTTGACATAAAATATAAAATATAAATCTCCCGCCCCTGGGAGTTTTTAAAATTTAGCGATAAGAATCAAGGAATTTATTTTATATGGCCTAAGACGTATATTCTTCTAATTGTTTCAATATTGCTGCAAAGGTTCTTATTTCAGCTTCAAGACAAATTTCCGTATAGTTCCGCTTCAGGTACTTTTAAATTATATATTCGCAATCATATGATCATGGCCTTTATGATCTATGAAACAGGAAACGGGAAATCCGGGAATCTCCAGGAATCTGTGGCAATCTCTTGGAATCTCGGGAAATAATAATAAGTTTACAAAATATAAGTATTTATAGCGGCACTAAAGATCCAGAAACACCGGACGCAATTCGACAACGCGACGTCATTTTTTAGTTTTTGAAAGTTAATAAAACAGCCAATGAGAGCAAATTTTGAAAGATATGAAGACCAAATAACTCAAAATGTTACACCGCTTTTAAATATTTGGAAAATTTAAACTAGAATCAAAGTTATCGGCCAGTGAAAATCGAAAAATCACGGGCGTCGCGTTGTCAAATCGCGTACAGCGCGTCCCGACCTTAATAAGACGCAGAGCTCCAGTTTACTGCTTTGAAACAAAATGGCAAGTACAGTAGTATACAAATACTGTTAACCGGCTTTCGTTGGCAGGGATGCAACTACATGAAAAATATAAGGAAAATTTTGACGTTTTGAACGAAGATCTTTCGTCGAAGCAACTTGTCTAGACGAATGACTTTCGCTCGAATCGTTGAAATTTTCCTCTTAAACTTTTCAGGTAGTTGCATCCCTTTCAACGAAAGCGTGTTAAGTACAGTACACAGACACAGACAGTTCGAGATTATATACAATTAATGAATGTTAATGAGTTTGTTATCGAAACAAAGCTTATTGTAACCCACGATATGATAGTTACTGTTCAAATTTTTAGTTGTATACAATTTGGCCCAACACCTTTTCGATCAATTCCTTATTATAGCTAGTTTAAAAATCACTTTCTCGGACTAGCTATTTCTATCTTGCTAATTTGGTTTTCTATTACTACAGTTGGTAGCTATAAGTTTATCATGGCTAAAATATTATTTTATACTGATTATATAAGGGAATATAATTCGAACGGTACACGCCATCAACCAAGGAGCGATCGAGTAGCTACACATTACTACAATTTACAGTAATCTACGGCTCGGCTTAATTGTTCGATCTCAGTAATGTATATAAATTCTATTTTCAAATACAATTCCTTTGTGAGATAAAATTGAAAAATTAAACGAGACTTACCTGTAAGGTGAAGTTTGATGGAGATTCTACGAAGTCATTGGTCTGGAGCTAAGGAGTCAGGTGAGAGCGCGCGCGATCCACGAGGTTCACTCTTCAAAGATACTAAGTGATCATATCTAATCCTGGGATGGGAAGATTATGCTAGAACTAATGCCTAACGAAAGGTGGGCACCTGACTCCTTAGCTCCAGACCAATGACTTCGTAGAATCTCCATCAAACTTCACCTTACAGGTAAGTCTCGTTTAATTTTTCAATTCTACTTCATCATTGGTCTCAGTCGCTAAGGAGTCACGTGAGACTTCAAAGCAAATGATCACTACTAAACTAATAATAAAAACAGTAATGATTTCAAATTAACATACACATGCCAAATATGAACTAGCTAAGCGAGTCCAACAACTCCTTGCCATAATTTAAGTTATTCTCAACAGGCAAGTTGTAAAATTTTTGAAAAGTTTTATCTGAGTGCCATCCAGCAGACTTCATTATTGTGTCCAGTGGAATCTGCTTGTTCGAAGCAGCCGACGTAGATGCAGACCTGGTGCTGTGAGCGGAAAAAAACGTCTGTATTAACACCAGCATTGGTCAAGGTTGTCTTGATCCATCTGCTAACTGTATCCACATGAACTGGACCGTAAGGTTTCTGGTGACTTACAAGAAGCTGATCGATGCCCTGCCTCAGAGTCTGTGTTCGTTTAACGTACTCAAGTAAATATTTCACAATACACAAACTAGGGTCTGGTGTATAGGACAGGAATTCCAGGTGGCTTAAGTGCCTACCAGGTTTGGAGGTCTTTAACAATTTATCTAACACAAAAATACATTTATCAGGGCTCAGTTGCATACAACTGACTTTTAGCGCATGTAACGTCTGTCGACGTTGTCCTGACAGCAAAGCTAACAACGTTACAACTTTAAGTGTTAATTCTTTTAGACACAGTTTATCAGCAGGATGCATCTTTCCAAGATACTTCAGCACAACTGCAATGTCCCAAGTTGCACTATACCGTGGGAGAGAAGGTCGGTTTTCGAAAACACCTTTCATAAACCTGCGGACCAATGGATGCGTGCCAAATAGCAAACCATCAGGGAGAATGACATATGAAGAAAGTGCACTACGTGCTGTATTAAGCGCACTATAACCAATGCCAGTATTGTATAGTTCTGCCAGATAATTCACCCCAGCTTCTATAGGTGCTGAAATTGAATCAATTTGTCTTTCGCTACAGTATAACTGCCATCGTTTAATGTAGGGGTTGTATTGCTTGCGAGTGCTTTCTCTCCAAGATTGCAGGACCAGTTCGGCAGCCTGCTGTGAAAGTCCACGGTCTTTAAGGAATCCCCCGATACCTGGCATAGCAATAAGACTAACTTGGGGTAAAGGGGGTGAACAAGGCTTGGTTGGCTTGGTTGAGTCAATATGTGCCTCCCGATTGGTAACTGAATTGGCACTTGTATCAACATTCTCATGACTCTTGGCCACCAAGATTGGGTTGGCCACTTTGGAATGACTAACAATCCTGTGGCCTTGTCTGACTGAATTTTTTGCAATACTTTGGGTAGGATGCTAAAGGGTGGAAAAGCATAAAATGAATATGTTGACCATGATATGCTAAAGGCGTTGATGGCACATGCCTCTGGGTCTGGTTTGAATGCAACAAACGGTTTCAGTTTGTAATTAAGCCTAGAAGCAAACAGATCTATATTTGGTGTAACGCGGGCTTTCTCTACTGCCCGAGCAAACCAACTAGGATCTAGGGCCCATTCACTTGAACCCAGAGCTTGTCTGGACTCTTTGTCAGCCAGTGTGTTAGATACACCTGGTATATGTGCAGCAGAGAGCCAAATGCCATTGCTTACACACCAGTCCCAGACTAATCTACCAGCCGAGTTGCAAGCTTTGGAGTGACTGGTACCCATGTGATTAATGGTAGCTACTGCAGTAGTGTTGTCAATGAACACACGGACATGCTTGTCTTTTACATAATTATGAAAGGCTTTTAGTGCCATAAGAACTGCTAGTATTTCTAAATAGTTGATATGGTAAAGCGACTCAGCTGGGGTCCACTGGCCCCCTGTGCTCAAGTCACCCAGGACACCACCCCAACCAGTGGTTGAGGCATCAGTATAAATAACAATCTCATACTCGCTGTGTTGCACGACATTAAATGCACTCGGGAGAGAAACTGACCACCAATGTAGGTCTTCAATAGAAGACGAAGATAAGGTCATAGAACTATTAAAATTCCCTTTACTCTTCTTTAGGGCTTCATTTTTATCCATGTCAATGCTGCGATAATGCAGTGGGCCGTACATGACAGCAGGAAAGCTTGCTGTCATCATGCCAACAAGTGATGCAATTTCTTGAACAGTAGACTTGGGTTTTTTAAGTATGTCAACACAAAGCTTAATCAATCTGTCTGTTTTCTCTGGAGTTAAATATATTTTCATCTCTTTCGAATCCAGAATAAACCCAAGATATGTTAATCGTTGAGTTGGGATCAGAACAGATTTCTCAGGGTGAGTGATTAAACCTAGGGAATCAAACATATGCACAGTGACTTTGACATTTGCAACACAATCAGCAAAGTCATCACCCTGTAGGTAGGAATCATCAATATACCCGGATGATTCATATCCCTGTTGTCTTAGGTTTGCATAAACAGGTTTCAACAGTTTAGTGAACATACGGGGGCAACATGCAAGTCCATTAGGGAAACATACAAATTTGTATAGTTGCCCATCCCAAATAAACTTTAAGTATTTTTGATCAGTAGATGCGATAGGTACGGAATAGTACGCATCTTTGAAATCCACTGAAGCCATAAAGCAAAGTGGTTTCATCATACTAATAGCAGATGCTAAAGTGTCCATTTTAAAATGATGATAGGCCACATGTTCATTAAATTGTTTAAGGTTTAAAATCATGCGATACGACCCATCTTTTTTAGGAATAATAAAGATGGGTGAAATATATTCCCCAGGTTCAGTAACACTGGGTACAATGACACCTTTAGCAAGTAGGCTTTTTATTTCAGAATCAATGACCAGCCTTTCTTTGCTACTAAACAATTTTTTCTGTTGGCATTTTACCTGAAAAGGGGTTGACGAGAGTTCTATGTGTGCCCCCGTCACCATATCTAAAATAAATTTATCCGATGTTAACAATTTCCATTGTTCAGCATAAGATGACAATCTACCAGCTTGAAAATTAGAAACTTTATTTTTAAGATATTCTAAAAGGTCAGGTATAAAGGAAACATAATCCTGTACCTGTACTGTAGTAAGTTTGTTTAAGATTTGTTCTTTCTCCATTGCTTTTGTCTGTACGGAGGCCGGTCCTGCCTGTCCCCTCGCCCCCCCAAAAAAGGACCCTTGGGTTTATTTTTCCAGGGCTCTTTGCCTTTTGCAGGCGGTCTTGGGGATTCTGAAGCCATAGTGTTACCAATCTTGTTTGAGGCTTTTATGTTGTTCAGTTGAGACTGAAGCTCGTCGCCAAACAGGAACTCTGTAACTGGGCCCTGTGGTGAACAAAGTGTGGCATACTCTTTGTTTAAGAATGGTTTAATAGCTTGTCGCCGGTGCATGGACAAT